GTTCCGTGACGTGCAAAATGTTATTTCAAACAGTTGATTACTGTGGCTGCCGTGGTATCTAGAAGAAGGTCGAGCTCAAAGAAATCTGAGTAAAATTCAACTGTGACAAGGTAATCCTCAGTCTTTAGAGTAAAGATGTCAATTCCAAGTTTTTACCATGGCTGGTCTGGGACATCGTGTGTCATTAATGGTTCTTTCTGTTGTTTCCGTTGAAACGTGCTGCATGTGCTACACGTGCTGACGAAATCCTTGATTTCCTCATTCATGAGAGGCCAATACAGCATATCCCTAGCTTTCCATAGACAAGCCTCAATTCCTAAATGACTGGAATGAGTGCGGCGTAGCATTTCTGGTCGAAGAGCTTAGGCAATTACAACGCGGCTGCTACGATAAATAATACCATCTTGCACTGTGAGAGAGTCTCTGACATTCCAATGGAAGTGTCTATCCGCACGACGGTCGTGCCGATTATATTCGTTATTCGCACGACGGTCGTGCCGATTATATTCGTTATTCGCACGACGGTCGTGCCGATTAGTACACCCACGTTCACAAACGAATACCCCTCTAATATTATGTATAGAGGAGTATTTTTTGTATGGAACGGTTATCTTCAGTCTTTTAACTAAATTTTTCGCATTGAAAACATGAAAAGACAGTGTAATAAATATAAATTGTAAAATAAAAAAAAATCAAGGGGTCATATATTAGTGTGTGGCACTGTATCATCCATCCCATTTCCTTTTCAGACCAGATCTGCATCTATTATACAAATTGTGCTACATGTTTGTTGTTTTTTGTTATATAACACGTATATGAACGGTTTCGCTTTAAGACTATTAATGAAGTCAAAATGTTTTAAGAGTTCGAGTTATTTTTGAGACAATCCTTTTAAAAAGTAAAAGAGTTATTTCTACATAATATGTTGATTAAATATTTTGTCACAATATCACGCTCTTTCTTTACTTATTTATGGGAAAGATATTTCTTTGTGATAAATATAATATACAACCACTGGACCTTTTTAACCTTTCTTATATCGTAAAGTAAAAAAAAAATCCCCATATTTCAATGTTATTATTATGGCTGCAGCATGGGGAATTTTTCATTTATTAAGAGAAATGTTTAAAACGTCAATTGACTTAGATTAGAACCGTAATACACTTTTGTTTATCAGCAGAACTAGAATTATTATTATTCTTCAAATCTTTCGAGTACTGGTTTGTCATAGCTTTTGATACTGCACGTCAATTCTCGTTTTTAGAATTCCCCCGGGTGATCAATGGCCCGCCCCAAGGTTCGGCCGAAGTTGGCCAGAGAGATCGGAGGATGCTGTCGCGGGAAAATGAGATAGCGCAAAAATGGAGGAAGGGATGGATGTAGGCGACACATTCGATACTTATGAAGATTTTGAAAAAGCTTTAGAAGCCTACTGCGAAAGAGAAAATGTTCAATACACCATCACAGACAGCAAATCAACAAAAAGCGAGAATCTAAAAGTGAAAAGACCTTATGATGAAAAATTTCGATTCAGATTTGTAAAATATGAATGTAAGCACGGGCCGAAGAACAAGAAGAAAAAAGTGAAAGGACTTGGGCTTCGACCAAATCAGAGGTATAGTAATAATTATGAATGTCATTGAATTAATGTTTAGGACATATGCAACATAGTGATGAATATAATTGGAAAATTGATTTATTTATTGATTTTACAAAACATTTGAATTACAATTACATGAACAAAATATTTATTTTAAAGAAAAAGAAATATGTAATCTCTTATACGTGCATAATGTGGTATATAACCATTGGTCAGTCCAAAGACTATTTCTACCTATGCAGCTAAGTAATAGTAGCATAGTAATTTTTGCAAAATTGTTGCTTTAATTACGAAGTTTTGAATTTTTTGCCACAGTTTTGTTGTATTCATTATCATTTGTTTTACCAGTGTGCACAATAAGTTGTGGGTATTTTAGAGGAGTTATCTCTCTTTTTATTGTCGTGCGGATAAGATTTCTAATCGGCACGACCGTCGTGCGAATAACGAATATAATCGGCACGACCGTCGTGCGAATAACGAATATAATCGGCACGACCGTCGTGCGGATAGCCTCGGCCCATTCCAATACGTCGTTTCCGGGATCCCCCTTTTAACTTTATCTATCACGTGACTTTCATCATCACGTGATAAAAAGTTAGGCATATTTTGTTCAAAATGGCGGCGGAAAGTCACCGAAACAAATCCGTGGCTGAATTGAAGGCATTTTTGTCAGATAGAGGCATCAATACATCACTTTATCGCAAAGATGCATTAATACGTATTGCAGAAGCTGCATCTGCGTTAAATCTAGAGCCTGAGACGGAGAATTACGGGAATTATCAGACTGAGAGAGTAAATCGAAGAAGTGTGATAGTCCAAGGAACTTCTGTGACTTTACCTGATATCTGTTCCGTATCAGACTGGCAGCAAGATTTGTCATTACTTCCAAATATTGAAACAGGGGACATCATGGTTTACCTAATGACAAAGTGCTCGTGGACCGAATCGCGGCTTAAGGCATACAAAAATGACAATGGCTACAAACTTTTTCAACATAGACACATTGACAATGTTGTTGTCAAATTCTTATCGTACAACCATTTCTATATAAAATGTACATGTGTTCCAGAAACTAGACAGTCAGAAAAACCATACACAACATGGATTCTTATGGATAATGATGGCACTGTAAAATCTGGGGGTTGTACTTGTGTTGCGTAAGTTAAATGTTTATATTTGTATATTGAATAGTTGAAAAAAAACGTTGAATATCTTAAAGTTCTTGCTCATATGTGATGCCATAAGTTTAAAAAATATTTTACCATAAACTTGATAAAGTAAACATTTAAGGAATGTTTTTCAGTTTTGTGTGAGTTATTGGTGTATGAATCACAGAGACTTGTCACGTAGGCATATTTCATGAAGCGCGCTAGCGCTTCATGTAAAATATGCCTACGTGCAAGTCTGTGTGATTCTCACACCAATAATTCACACTAAACTTAAAAACATTCCTTATATTTACATTTTACATGTTTGGAAGCACCGAAAATATACTCAATATTTGAATTTCTCGCTGCCCTATATTGTTATACTTTTACTAATGTTGCTGTAACCTTTTTGTGACGTCACGGTAACTAACTCACGTTTCTCCATGTATATTTCTACGCGTGAGTATACACGAAAATGATTTTCAAATCAATTTCACAGTTGGCCTAGTAGAAAAACACAGCGAATGTAAATATTAATGTATGAAAAATGGAGAATACCAACAGGTTCTTTACTTTGATGTAGTGCTGGAGCTCCTTTAAACTTTATACCTCCCAGTTACATATTACCGGTAATTATTTACTACATATTTTTCAACAATTGGAGCATTCAACTTGGTATCCTTACTTTATTTTAGTGATGACGGAACATGCAAACACTGCGTGGCTTTGTTATTTTCTCTTCAGTCCTTTTCTGAGAGACACAAGGATAGGGGAGAGGAAACCTGCACAGACAAACCATGCAAGTGGGACAAACCAAGGATAACTTCCATCCAGTCACTGTTGAGGAGATATCGTTTCGTAGGAATTCAAGTCATCCAGATAAAAAAGACAATTACAACCCGGTTTCAAATCAAAGGCATATATCACACAGGGAGATCACAAAGATATTGTACAAAACATGTAAACATTATGGTTCTGTGTTTATGCACACTGTAGATCCACCTTCGGATGACAGTAGTGATGAAGAAGATTCATTAGAAATCAAGGAACTCAGTGATATAATAAGTGATTACAAACAACAAAATCCAATCGGAAATGAAAATGAGTTGATTGATTATCTCAGAAAAATTCATTCAAAAGATGTAATTAATCAAATAGAAAATTTGACTAAGGATCAAACAGATAATGCTATGTGGTACAAATACAGGAAAGGTCGAATTACAGCTTCGGTGATGGGTTCTGTTTACAAATGCAGAATTGAAAATCTTGCAACAGAAAACTATATTGTGAAAAAATTTTTTGGCAGATCTTCTTTTTCTTCTGCAGCTACAGAATGTGGGAAAGCAATGGAAAGTGTAGCTCTTCAACAATACTTCTTTCAATACTCTAAAGATCATTCAAAAGCCCAAATTATGAAATCTGGTTTAGTAATTAGTGAAAATTATCCTTTTATAGGTGCATCCCCAGACAGTTTAATTTCTTGCCAGTGTTGTGGTAATGGCATTGTGGAAATTAAGTGCTCATACACCCATCAGCATAACTTTATCAAGGACTTTGCTGCAAGTAATGACTATCACATACTTTTACACGAGGATAATATTGTATTGAATAGATCATCCTCATGGTACACTCAAATTCAGACTCAACTTTTCTGCACTGGGCTTCAGTGGTGTGATTTTGTATTATATACCCGAAAAGACATGGCAATTGAAAGAATTGTATTTGATCCAGAATACTTTGATTGTTGTTTAAAAAAAGCTTGTATCTTTTTCCACAAATTCTTGACATAAGTTGTATAAATAAAATACTGAGTGATTGATTGCTTTATTATATCAGAATCAAATTATGCACTTAGATCGTGATTAGAGTTAAACAGTATAAGTATCAACAGCCTTAAACATTTGATTACAGGTACACAAAAAATTGTACAAATTTTTTTCAGTTGATATCAATAACCATATAATCATTGTCAAAGATAAATGTAACTTCTACAGAATTCAGTCAATTATCTGACCAGGTTTCACAAATGGTAACTTCTATAGATTTATGTCAAATATCTGACCATGTTTTACAGATGGTAAATGTAGTACAAGTGTATAACTCATGATTTACAATTGAACATAGACAGTGCAAGTTAGTAGCACTAAAGTAAATGCAGATATTTGTCGTTTTTTTTTTCAAGATTGATGACAAAATTAAATATTGTTTAAAATGAGATCATGGGATTTATTTGATTCAAACTGCATACAGAGTCACTTGGTTACAAGAGGTTTCTTTAAGTTACAAAAGAATGCACCTAAAATGATCATCGGATTGACTAAAGATTTCATACTGCAGGGTAGAATCTGAGAAATTAGTTTAAATGATTTCAACCTTTGAATGGCTCTCTCAACATGGATTCTCAAATTTGCAATTTGACGGGTTTTTTTAATTTGAGTAGATGTAAGGTACTTCCCTTTGCCCCAAGTACACTTACGAGTAAATGGTGGTATATTCAGATAAGCATGTCTCTCTGTAAGTAAATCTCGAATGGTGAAACCCCGGTCAGCCATAATCTCGTCTCCCGGTGACACATAATCTAAGAAACCAGAATTCATGGTAATGTACCTGTCAGAAGTGTTCCCTCCCCATATTTGAGACACAAAGTTAAAAGCACCTGTTGGTGTAATGCTCACCAGAAATTTAAAGGTGTTGTGAGATTTATATGTACTATATGTCCTAGCATTTACAGAGGGGTCCCTGGGTCTCTGAATGAAAATCTCTGAACAGTCTATGATAGCTCTGGTCCTTGGAAATTTGTAAAAAGATTTTGGCATGAACTTCTTCACTAGTTCTCGGGATGGCCAGAAAATGAAATCTTTAAACATGAAATACATATAAAAAATCCAGGTTGAGAATATAGAAGAGATTCTGGAACAAGACACCCCAAATAAATCAGACATAACTACCACTGGCAATGCAAGGCGAAATCGCACAAGTGTAAGGATCAATTCCTGGTACCTTGATAGCTTTCTAGATGGACCGGGCTTATTCCCTCTATTTTGATAGCTTTTTTCGTTTTCGCTATGTTCACCGGTCCAGTATTTCAAATTTGGTTCATACTTTAATGTTAAGTCACTAATTTTATTAAAAGTTTCTAAATTTGGTAACCCAGTATATTGTTGGATAGATTTGTCATTTTTGGTTACTTTTTCAATGAACAGGTTTCTGAGAAGTGCATCTTTATCACTGAGTTTTGCCTTTAATTGTTCATTTTCTCTCGAAGTGTTGTTCATGTCTTCAGAAGTGAGGTCTGTCTGTGTACCTTTATCTTCAACATCATCACTGGTTGTTAGAAACCTGTCTACAAGTGGTCTGCTGTAGCTGTGATCTGTTTCAGTAGTTGTGGATGGTGCTAAGTAAATATATACATGATATATATAAATATATACATAAATAATTAATGCAAACAATTTTCTGTCAATTAACATCTGCACATTTTGTATAATTATACATGTATCGATATAAATAAAAATTCTGAGTACCGTTTTATCCCCAGTGCAGTATCAGGGTAATGAATTGAAACTTAATGAGAATTTGTACCTGACTCTGAAAGTTTGCAAGACTCTACAACTGTTTCATACACAGCAAATGGCAGGCCCACACTTATGTCTACTGGTACGTGCTGCTGAGATGACGATGATACTTGCAGCATATGTGCTGGGTCTGTAAAAGATAGTTTTTTATTACTAGTCCAAAAGAACTTCATTGAATGTACACTGCATGGGTGACTATTATGAGGACAGCTCTATTTACAATAAATTCATTCCATATTACAGGGCTGTCCCTAAGACCTGAGAGCCAGGGGATTCTCCCCTTTAGTCAAATTAGTGGCATATGATGCCCTGGTTATTTTGGGATTGTCCCTCAATTTACTGTTAGAGGAGTAACCCCAAGTTTTCCTTCTATTTTTTAAATGCAACCCACTATTTCAAATCCTTGGGGACAACCCTGCATATGATGTTCTTACCAGGTAATGTGTATTTGGAAAAGATGGTAACCTCAGATGTTAGTTATACACATGTAATCATATCAAATTAAGATGGATATCAGGTGAATAATAAATAATTGTGCTAAGACTGGACCTATGTCTGATATGAACAGCTGATAAAGGTGATCTTAGCTCAAAAATGCATACATTAATGATAAGTAATTTGTATACTTTTAGCTGTTGTCTTTATGTAGGGTTGGCCCATATATTAACATTTGTCATACCTGAGTTTTCCTTGTCTTGGAATGCAGGTGCTGTTGCACTTTGCTCCATTGCTCGTTCTCGCTTCTCAATAGACAGGGGTTTTGTTGTAGATACTGATTTGTAATTATTCCATGGGAAAAGTTCTGGGATTGTATGATTTTCTGAGCGACAATTTCCTACGAAATGTTTCGTGCAAACTCTGTGATGAGCTAAAGGTTCATATTCTTTGGGGCGCCGTATCATGGTGATCCATTTCGCTCGAAGTTTTGGCTCTTTGCGTTTCGTTGGGAAGGGTTCAAAGGAGACATCCTCCATCCAAGGATATTTATCTAGTTTATTTTTCTTTCTTGAATCGGAATTGCACCCTGGTACCACACACCAATACTTGCCCTTTGATTCGGGAGTATTTTTTCGACCCACCATGATTTGTTTACGTTTCATAAAACCCCGCGTCAAAATGTGCCTAACTTTTTACAGAGTCACATGATCAGCGTAGACTAAAAGTAGAGTCGTAACGGATCAGAGAAATGACGTATATGGTCATATTGGAATAGAAACATCTTCCTTAGTATCAGGCCATCCTGAAAGTATCACTGTCTTTAGTGACTGGAGAGTCTCATCTTTCTTTGTCAAATCTCGGATTTGATTCAGTCTTTCTAACCCACTCTGTCTGTTGAATGTGTGCTATCTCCTCAGCAAGTTTGGAAGTGTGCTGTCCATGATACTCTGGAGTCGCGCGAGACAAGGTATCTGCGATGAACAACTCGTTTCCTCTAGTATAAACAACATCCAGGTTGTATTTCTGGAGGCGAAGTAACATTCGCTGGAGTCTTTTTGGAGCTGACAAGAGAGCGTTTCAAGAGGCGTGTGGTCTGACTGTACTGTAATGCAATCCTTACCATATATGTAATGGTCAAATCTCTCGCATGCAAAAGCAATTGCAAGACACTTTCTCTCTATCTGTGCGTAACACTTTTCAGTTTTAGATAATGCACGAGAGGCATAAGCAATGGGCTGTCCATTTTGCAGTAATGTGGCTCCGAGGCCAACTTCACTAGCATCGCACTGAATTGTGACTTCCTGATGTACATTATAGTATTTGAGTACGGGTTGATGACTCACGAGACGTTTGACATTCTGAAATGCTTCTTCCTGCTGCGATTGCCAAGACCATATGGCTCCTTTGTCTGTGAGAAGTCGCAAAGGTTCACAGGTTTCTGATAGGTGAGGCAAGAATCGAGACAAGTATGTTGCTAGACCAATAAAGCGTTGCACTGCTTTCACATTTTCAGGTCTTTTCATGTTTGTAATGGCACTAACTTTGTCCGGATCAAGGCGGACACCTTCAGCCGTAAGTAAACTGCCCATGTATTTGACTTCAGTCTGACGAAGTTTGAACTTGTCCTTATTAAGCTTTAGTCCCACCTCACGAGCTCTTTGTAGAACTGCCGTCAAGTTGCGGTCATGATCTCGAATTGCTGATTCCATGGTCTGTCCACAGCCGTAGACTATGATGTCATCCATCACATATTCTGCTCCAGATAGTCCATCCAACACTTCGTGTTGTCTGAGCTGGAATTCTTCAGGCGCTGATGAAATTCCGAAGGGTAAACGCAACCATCTATATCGACCAAAAGAGGTCCAGAACGTAGTAAGGAAACTGCTAGATTCATCTAATTTGATGTGCCAGAATCCTTCTTTTGCATCAAGGACGGAGAATACTTTTGCATTCGCAAGATTCGGTAATATGTCCCCAAGGGTAGGATTGATATAGTGCGGTCGCTTGATAGCTTTGTTCAAGTCTCTTGGATCAATACATATGCGTAGCTTATCAGGTTTTTTCACTGTTAGCATGCTACTTATCCAGACTGTAGGAGTAGTAACTTTCTTGATCACACCTCTGTTTACGAGATCCTTCAGCTTCGTGTGAATTTTCTGCTTCATGGCTTGATGAACATTTCTTGGTTGATGCTGAACTGGCTTAACAGTAGGATCAATTTCAATCTTGTACTCGCCTGGGAAAGATACTAGTCCCTCGAATACAGCATGGTATGGTCAACAGCTGACTGCGCGTCAGTGGTTCAAAGCTCTTCTCAGCTGATGTATCAACACTGTTCACAATATTCACAGTTAACAGTCCTAACTTTTTACATGTTTCAGCCGAGAGCAATGCGGTTTGATCTGTATCCACCACATAAAAGTTCAGACATTCTGTGTTGCTTTGTACTGAGCAGGTAATGTCAACGGTACCTAAGGGCTCGAGCTTTGATGTTCCACCATAAAATCGTACAGCATTGCTGGATGGTTTCGATGGCGGACAAGCATTTTGGGTAAGAATGCAGTATTGCCGAAATCCAAGAATGTTACATGTTGATCCAGAGTCCAGTTGACAGATAACATCTTGACGAGTTTTGTCGTCGATCAACATGTTGACTTTTGTAAACCACTGTTTACCATGTGTCGCCTTCACTGTGTAACAAGATTCACAATCACTACTGTCATCAGTTTCATCAAGTTGAAGAACAGTCTTGCTACCACTCTGACACACTGAAGCGAAATGATTTTTCTTTTTGCACTTGTTGCACGTCTGTCCATAAGCCGGACACTTGTTTCTTCCTCTTGCATGCTTTCCAACGCAGTATTTGCATTTATGGTCTCCTTTGCTTGGGTATTTTGGCGGCTTTGTTGAAGACTTTTTCTGCTGCTTCGTATCTTTCATGTGCTTCTTATTTCTTCGTGCTTCGTAGTTGATTTGAGCTGTATTATTAGTGTCACTCTGTCCTTGTCCTTGTAGTTTCTTAAGCTGACTGGAAGTTCTATCACTGGTTCTACAGATGTCTATGGCGCTGTTAAGTGTGAGCTTAGATTCTCTGAGCAATCTTCCATGAACATATTGGTTCTTGGTTCCAAGTACTATCCTATCGCGAATCATTTGGTCCGTAATATCACCAAATTCACATGTCTTCGCAAGTTCTCGTAGTCTGCACAAGTAATCGTCAATCGATTCATTAGGCATCTGGTCTGCCGTATTAAAGATATATCGTTCGTAGATCACATTTGTTTTGGGCATGAAGTGACCATCTAATGCTTCTAGAATTTTGTCAATATCTTCTCTGTCTTGAACACTGAGTGGTAAGTTTTCATATATTTGGAAACAGTCTTTACCCATCACTGTCAGTATTTTGTTGCTATCCGAATAGGCTGCTCCTTCTTGACAAGGCCTGTGGCAATTTCATAATTGGCCCACTGTGATTTGAAAAATTTCCAGTTGCCCCTGATGTCACCTTTCACTACCATAGCGGCTGGTACAGGTAAGTCTTTAGAGGCCATTGTGCTTTGAGTATGAACAGTTCCGTGGCTTTGTATGGCAAAAAATGTATGTGTGTCAAAGGCACGTCTCATATATTAATGTGGATTAATATTGCATGAGAGTTTCATACAGTTATTGTAACACAATGTCAATTCTACACCATAACAGAAGTATGCGCATTCTTGGGTAGAAAAAAAATGGCGGCGTGCCAACCACGTGTGATGCTGGGACGTTTTACTTCAGCGAGCAAAGGTGAAGAAAATACAAGGATTCTCGGGGCTGTGCTACTATACCCGATATCTTGGCTTTGTTTTCTCACAAGTCGTAAGGAATTTGTCCCGTTACTGTTCAGGATTCAGGTGTCGTGGCGTATTCTTTTGCTGAGAGCTTCACTTCTGACACCATGTTTCAGTTCAACATATTATTGAAGTAACAAAAGTGATGACGTAATGCACAAGTGCACAAAAAGGTCAGAGTAATTAACATACATTACATCCTAACACTGGCGACAGCTTACATTGAACAACAACAGCGCCGATCGATGTGTTTGTCAGCTGTTCGTGACGAGATTGCAATGCTTTGATATTTTGGTTAGAATATATAGCAGAATTTAATACTGTTGTGCAACTGCATCTACGCTGTTCCGCGAAGGGAAGATTGCGTCAGCCATGATTTGAAGTGAAATACTGTTACGACACCTAGACTGGCTTGCCTGTCTGATCCTCGATTTCGTACTGCCAGTCTAGGAACAGCGAATTTGCGTTTTAGAGACAAGCGTCTGGATGATCGAGACTACAAATAATGACGAAAAAGTAATAGCATATAATGAAAAGTAGTATAATGAAAAGTAGTATAAAGAAAAGGAGTAAAATGAAAAGTAGTACAATGAAAAATACCATCATATAATGACAAAATACCATCATATAATGAGAAAGCACCATCATATAATGACAAATTACTATCATATAATGACAAAATAACATCACATAATGGCAAATTACCAGCATATAGTGACAAAATACCATCATATAATGACAAAGTACCATCATATAATGTCAAAGTACCAGCATATAATGCAAGTTCTGCACATAAGGCAGTTACGGCGTTCCATAGTATATTTCTTTATCCAGATCGTTGAAATGATGTATATACTCCATTTTAACTTGGTGGATAAATCGAATATAGTGTATATCAAATCACATAACATAAATTGTTTAGACGAGCCATCAAAAACACGAATAGTCATCTCAATTATTTATGAAAAACACCATGTCATACACAACACAAAACGTCATGAACAATTTCTAAATCGAGGTTAATTATTGACAAACAAGTTAATGAAACAAAACTATCAACAGTCTCGTTTAAAGTCATCATTTCGTAAGTTCTATGGTCGATACCTGTCATACCATGGCCTTGTTAACAAATATAATTTATCATTAAGTCTAATGCTGACTGACGTTTTTCATACTAATTGTTAGTCCATTATATTTATACATTGAATCGACGATGGATTTTTCCGTTATTTCCCAATAATGACAAGGAGCACACGGCGTGTGTGACCGCTCAGCAGGGGATGCTCACTCCTTCATGGCACCTGATCCCACCTCTGATGTTTCGGAGGTCCGTGTTTGCCCTGCTCCTATTTTGTATTGTTTTATGGACTTTGATATAGATATTGAATACTGTTTGTTATCTCCATATCCTTCATGGTACACCAACGGCTGATAATGTAAACATGAATCTGAAACATAAGATAAATAACTTTTTTGAATACTAATTAGGTTTCCCTCTTAAATTCCTGAATGTTACATGTATATGACATACACCACATGGCTTCTTGGATGACTCTACCAGAATGTTTGCCCCTCGGTGACAGAAAAGTCATCTCCTGCGAAATCGGACCCTGGGATCATGAAACGTCCTAAGCTTAAGTAAAAATCTATATTTGATAATAAAACGTTGTAGAAGTTAAGCAGACAAAAATTGAAATATTTTTCAATATTATTTCACAGAGGTATTGTTATCTGCAAATTTAGGAATATTTTTATAGGCGATTGAAAATTTGACTTAAGGAAGGTCCATACTTTTACGCATCCGGTTTTAATTTTAC